GTGTGTGTGTGTGTGTGTGTGTGTGTGTGTGTGTGTGTGTGTGTGTGTGTGTTGAGGTCTTTGTTTTTGTGAAATAGCATCTTGCTATTAAATACTAGGTTGCCTAAAACTCACTATGTAGCCTAGACTGCCCTCAAACTTAACAGCAATCCTTCTGGCTCAACCTCCTGAGTGCTGGGATTCCAGGCGTGTCTGCCGCTCCTGGCTTTCATGTGTGCTTGCTAAATGATTAGTTGTGGTGGGAGGGAGGGTCTTACCCTGTAGCATTAGGCAGCACTGTGAAAAAGTGACCCTCTCTCAGGCTGTTGTAAACACTGAGTTCCTAGATAGCTGCCCAAGGGCAGTCAGTAGCTTGATTTTAGTCAGGATAAACCCAACCAGACAGTCACCTTCCGTTTGCATTACAGAATTAGAGACAGCTACCTTTGAGTTCAGGATTTTTGTTTGTTTGGTGCATTTTGTTTGTTTTTCAAGAGTTTCTTCCTGGCTGTCCTGGAACTCACTCTGTAGACCAGGCTGGCTTCAAACTGACAAAGATCCTCTTGCTTCTGCCTCTGCCTCTGTCTCTGCCTCCTGGGTGCTAGGATTAGAGGCAGGTACCACCACTGCCCTGCTAAATTCAGGACTTTTTTATTTCTACTTTGGAATTTCTCAGTGGAAAGGAAAATAGGTGGGACATAAGAGGTGGGCGTGGACAGGAGATGGCTCGCCTGCAGGTTTTCCTTACAGAGTGGAGCTGAGCAGAGAGGGCTTCCTCTTTATCCCTGAGGTTAGTAACTTTCCTGTTACTATCAAGCGTTCCTGATAGTGTTTAATCTTGAGTATGAACAGTCCTGGAATCTTTGCCTTCCTCTTCTGAGAGAGTGCTGACTGCAGAAGACTGTTGCACTCGTGAACTGACTCTCATAAGGCTCTGGACTCAGAACGAGTCCCAGAGCTGACTGCACTACTCCCCAAAGTACCCTTCACCAAATATGTCTCTGACACACCGCTGTTTCGCGCCCAAGATAACTCAGAAGGCAATCTCAGGAGCTCTGGGCCTAAACCTTGCAAAGTCAGTAGGTGTCACTGGTGTGAAGTCTCCCTGCAAGGCGGGCCTTGGCCACATCCTCGCTGCTCTTCCCTCGGAAAGCCTGTTGAGACCAGACTGCGAAGCTCTGGAGTCTTCACAGAACTGCCGTTCTCAGTTCAGCTGCTTCTGATGTGTCCCGGGGGAGACGTGATTCTGTCACATCGAATCCTGCCTGTCTGCTGGAGAGGAGTAATACAAGTCTATGGTCATTGTCTTGGTGGCAGCAGGAACTAGAGCAGCTTCGGAGGACATCCTCCTCTTTAATGCCTTCCCTGTGGTGGGCGAGCTGGCTGACAAATGCCCTTTGTTGTATGTGCCGCTGTGGTGTTACTGCTAGCATTTTACACACAGTCAAAAGCTCAGCCTGCGTAGGTTCTTTATGAGGCATAAAAGATAAATCGCTGTGTTTCACTCACCCTGATTGACCTTAGCCCCATAGCTGATCCAACAAAACCAGGCAACGGGTCCCTCACAGCAGCATTCTCACCCTGTGGGTTGCCACCCATCTGCAACACTACATCCAAAAACATTTACATTATGATTCGTAACAGTAGCAAGATGAGTTATGAAGTAGCAGCAACAAATCTGTGATTGGGGGTCACCACAACATGAGCTGATTTAAAGGGTTGGCATCATCAGGAAGGTTGAGAACCGCTACACTGCAGGGTCCTCCTCATACCTACCCCTACCACCACTGTTCCGAAGCTGATGAGACTGGAAGCTGAGCTTTTGAAACTGTCTCTCTGCAGTGCTTGAGAGCCAGATTGACGCAGCAGAATTCCTTGTATAGATGTTCTAGTGACGTCTGCGTTTGTACAGCAATGGGGTGGGGTGGGCAGGTTGTGTCCAGATTCACCATACTCACAGTCTAGCCCAGAGCTGTGAGGGGTTGGGCCCCGGGGCCTGACTGTGTGTGCGAGGGATCGGGTCCAGGGGCCTGACTGTGGAGGCAAGCTCCACTGCAGATCTCCATTCCTGCCCCAGGATTCTGTTGTGTTGTATTTGTTTACAATGATGAAAGGTTTCATTGTGTGATACGGTTTCTTCTCATTCTATGACTACAATATTTACAGTGTCAAAAGATTACAAATGTTCCCTAATCATTTGATTGTCACTGAAAAACAGTACTTCCAACAGTACTCTGTACAGTAACCTGTAAACATTGCAAACCCTCACGCCATTGTGGCTCTGACATTATATTTGTGAGCTATCTTTGTACCTTCTCTGAATTGGTCCTTGTTCTTATATGACCTGAAGTAACTGTACCCTCAGTGCACTGGGAGCGGACAGGCCGGGGAGTAGCAGCAGCTCCTCCTGTGAGATCCTGCCAGGGTGGCAGCAAGTGACTACAACGAGGCTCTTAGAGAACCTTTGACAGCTTGTGAACTTGCTGTAATTAAACCAAAACTTCCCTCTTTCCTGTTTGGTTTTCTGACTTTTTTTTTTTTTAAACACTGAACACACTTTATAATGGAGTCTTAACAGCTGAAATACAGGCCCACTAGTTGCCATCAGGAGTGACACACTTAAAGTCCCAAGTGTCAGTGCTTGGCTCCTGAAGGGACAGAGAAGGAAATGGATTCAGTGCCCTGGAAGGTCTGGATTAGCTGTAGACACCAAGAGGGGCCGAGATAGCTTCAAACGTCCCACCACCTCACACCTGGCTTCAGAGCTCAGAGCCCACGTGGTGGGAGGAGAGAACCGGCTCTTGTAGCCGTCTCTGCCCTCCACATGTGCTTCATGGCATTGCATACTGCCCCACACGTGTACACGACAAATCACGTTACTTTTTTTTTTCAGTCTAAATGAAAATCAATTTACCCACTTAGTTAAATACTTTAGTTGTGGTTAAGGCCATAACTACTATTTTGCAAGATGAAATTTGTCCTACCTTCCTCTACTCTAAGCTGAGTACTTGCCTTTTCTGTAGTCCCGCCTCACTGTCCAGGAAGGATTTTACAGAATGTATTTGTTGACAGTAATAAAAGTTTGAAGAGAGAAACCAAAGTCACTTAGTTTAAAACCAGATACACATTTTGGCTGACCCCTTGCAAATGCAGATACTGGCCCAATGTCGTTTGTAAAGGGGGTGAAATGCTTTGGTTTAAGCTCAGAACTAATCTAGAATGCAGAGCAATTCTAAGAACCTTAGTTGACTTTGGTGTTACTCCACCTGTGTGTACAAGTGGCAAAGCTGTTGAAATTGAGTTGTGGCCCTGAAACAGCAGGTTACGTAACTCCTGCTTCAGGGATGCAGCTCTCTCTCTCTCTCTCTCTCTCTCTCTCTCTCTCTCTCTCTCTCTCTCTCTCTCTC